TATATATATATGTATTGAGAAGTGTTCTCTTGGCGCTTTTATGAAATCAGCTAGAAGATTAATAGAATGATTAGTGCTAGTAAAATAAAATGTGGACACCTGAATGTGAATAGGGCAAGTAAAACAATGACGAGAGAATTTTTTTGTTAATCACAGCAGACTACACTAATCTAACATTAATTTACCATATCTTGATTTAGTTGCCCTGTATATGATCATGCAGGTTAGTAAAACCTAGCTAGAAAAAACATCAAATTTGAACAAGTAATAGTAAAGGAAAAGTAATAGTAAAGGATTCTTAGTGTTGGTTCCAATTCCTCCTTTTTATTAGGTTGTAGTTACTTATATTGGAATGATCCAATTTGTATGGTTGCTGATCCTGTTGCTGCTGGATTGATCAGTCTAAAGTAAAGTCATTTACAAAGTAATCGCCAATATTTGTTGCAGCTTCTCTTGTGTGATAATTAACCCTTGATTGTAATGAGCTGAAAAGCAAAGAATTCACTGATGATGATAGATAATTAGAACTTAGCAAGCTAGAAGACCAATTAGGCAGTAATGGAACAATATTGTTGCTTGCTGCTTCTGATCTTGTTGCTGCTGAAGCCAAGTTCATGTTCATGTTCTCATTGTTGTAATTCTGTAAAGAAATGTTGCTAATCCCACTTGATGGAGTAGCAATGCTACTCAAATTTGATAACTCAAAATCCCCAATTATCTCATTTGCTATTGTGTAATTAGTGTCACAATTAGGAGACTCTTGGGATTGTGATGATGTTGGATTTGGTTTCTTCACTGTTGGGCTCTTCTGAAACACCCTACAAACTACCCATTCCTCCTGAAAGAAAGATAAAAAAAAGTTGTATAAGGAATTAATTAATGGCTGCACAATATATTAATGATGCTGGTTCAATTCAAGAAAACGACAGTGATCATCACCTCTATATATGTTGTATATAGCTGATCATTTTTTTTTCTCATAAAGAGACTTAAGTACAATATCGTGAAGAATATTTATATTATTAGTGCACTTTAATAGCACGTAAAATGTCTTATTTTTCAGTTTACAAAGCCTAATTTTTGTACAGTTAATTGTAAGACTAAATATTGTTTCCAAACTGTCACTGTATTGAAGTTAAACTCAGTACTCATCCGTTTCAGTTTATGTGTCTTGGTTTTCTTTTTAATTTGTCTAAAAAAATGTCTCTAGCTTTCTCTATTTGGTACTAGTAAGTTTTTAATTTCGATTACGAGAACGATGTGTCATGTTTAACATGACAAAATTCAAAAAGGTATTTTTTGTTTGTTAATTATACACCCTTTTTAGTTTAAAATCACAACTCACAAGATTCAAAGTCTCCTTTACATACTAAGATACATGAGTAATATCTTAGCATTGTTTTCTAAACATAATAAATTACCTTTGAAGGTTTGAAGCCAAGCTCGGTTTCTAGTCTATATTCATGCATAATCCAGTTGGTTTTTTCGCCCTTAGGAGCTCTTCCTCTATAGAAAACCAGTGTTTTCTTCATACCAATTAGCACTCCGCCATGAAAAATCTCCTTGTCCTTGCCTGTTGTTTTCCAATAGCCTGCTTCTGTTGCTCGGTTAGTACGAAGGCCCGTTGGATACTTCCGATCTTTAAGGCTAAAAAAGTACCATTCTTTTTCTCCCATTGAGGCTTTCGCTGCACCAAAAACAGCCAAAAAAATGAGTATATATATATATATTTCGTTGTCTTGATTTGTATAGTGAGAAACTTAAGAGATCGATTAGTTCATATTTTCTCCTACAAACGCAAATTTTTGCTAACGTAAAATATGGTAACAAACAAGAAAGCAATGTAGAGGAAAGTCATTTTCTGTTTGTTTCATTGTTTGTTAGGTTAATAAGCAGTGATATCGATGTAATATTCTATCTTTGCCTTTAGGGTAACAAAAATCCTTTCCTTCAAAGTAAGATTTAAATGTCAAGTGGCAAAAGAAAGATTTAAATCTCTATATAACTGCTATATATAACAAATAATTAAACTTTGTACTATTAACCGCTCGTGGCATTAATTTGTCAAATGTTATTGGACTTTAAATACCACTTTAGTATGCTATGCAAATTATAATGCATTAGATGTGATGATGCTATATCTTGCGTTAAAAATATTATTAGGTAAAACTTAACATTTGGATGTTACATACTGGTCTGTGGGAATTAATAACTAAGTTCATAAACATGTTTTCTGATGAAAAAATTTAATTAAAAGATACAACTCGATCAGTTTCCATTGATTTATTTTGTCACAGCTCTTTTGGAACAAAATCGGAACAGGAAATTAAAATATACGTACGTACTAATAAAAGGGGGAAAAACATGAAGATAGAAACATGCAGAAGAGAGAATCATGAACCAAAATATAATAAAGCTACGAACCTGGGAGGTCCCAAGGCTCACACTTATTGAGATCAACATCAGCAAAAGCTGCAGCAGTGAAACTGAAATCAGAAACCTTATTTCTGAGATAATAAGTGATGAGTTCTTCATCAGTGGGATGGAATCTAAACCCTGAAGGAAGTTTATTATTAATTTCCTCCATTAATGCTAATTAGCTTTAATTTGTGAGGCCATTTAGAGGAAAGTATGTACGGATGCAAAGAAGCTGCCTATTTAATGGGGTTAAGTTAATACTTGAGGAAGAAGCAGCCATTTTTGGTCTTTGTTAATCCTCGTGATTACAGCTACCATATTGACAAAGATAGTGCCTCTGGAGATTATAGATTTATCATGACGGGGACGTAAGTTGATTATTATAATGCAATTGCATGACATTAAACATACTGCTCACTTCTTTAATTATTCTCTATAAACTGCCACTAGATTTATGTTTAGGATTTAATTTATATGTAATAATTTTTTACACTCTTATCGTGTATAATTTGACTTGTTATAAAACTACACTACAAAAATTCTTATAGAAGTTAACTCGTAAGTACTTATTACATAAGGAAATAATAGCTTTTTATGCTTGTAATATTCCATTAAATAATGGTAAATTACAATACTGACTATATAATCAGTGGCGTAGCTACAAAAAGTGAATGGTATTTAGTTGAACACCTTTGATCAAAAAATTATATTAAGTATATCGAAATCTACACTATGGATATAGGTCAAAATTTACTTTTATAAATACATATTAAATTTAACACCCTTTGCTATATCCCTGGCTCTGCCACTAACCATTATGGTATTTTTAGCTATATATCCATGTTTTCCAATATTTGCAAGTACAGTTGAGTAGATGTGAGTAGCAAATAATTTAAACGGTAGGAAAAATAAAAATTGAAGTCAAGGCTGCAACAGGATTACACGGGAGAGCAGATATTCTACCTCATCAATTTGCTTGTCCAACTAACTTCACCCATTTCTACCAACCCAAAAAGTATGTCTAAATTATGCCATAATTTCATGACATTTGTCATGATATAATATCCATTATAATAAATTTGTGGATCATGACATTTGTCATGACATAATATCCATTATTA